GATTATGTTAGGCTTTAGTTGAACCAATAAAAGAGGTTAAATGGGTCAAGATTCATAAGCATCCAATAGGTAATATATATTGGTTTTGAGCAATATTAATTGTTTAAGTTACTTCCAATGGCCCACGTTGTTTTTGGGTTAAGCATTTGGACTTGTTTGTTGGTAATAATTTAATTCAACGTTTACATCATTGTTCGAGATTCATTGGGTATCAAAAACCAACAAATCTCTACCTTGACATCCAATCAATCTGCAAGCAATCAAAACACAAAATTAGCGCTTGCATAATCAAGACAACCAATAAAATTGGAATCACAAACCTTACCTTGTGTTTTGGACCTGGAACACATACCATACGCGCTCTATGTGCTCACTAGTGTTAAGATCACAAACAAATACTCAAGTAAAAACAGATCATCACAGTAATCAATCAAGACTAAATAAACATGCGATAGAGATATCATATAGGATAACACAGATTTATTCAAAAAAATGAAATGTTCACACAAAATAACAGTTAATCAATCAAGCGGCCAATAAGTATGCAAGAAATGCATAAATGATCCCACGAAAAGATCTCACTACATTTATCCTATCACATTCTGTGTTGCCCACACCTCGAGAACACATATCGTACATCATCACCCACCATGCTCACTAGACTGATCGCTCAACTCATGTCTAACGGTAGACCTCTATAGATCTTAAGTTCTTGGGATAATCTTCTATCACCACACTACTTCTTCCAACCTAATTGGATAATGAGTCTCCACCTAACAGGAGTGATAGAAGTGCATATCTCACTCCACTGCACTCCACCTGATCAAGGTCTTTTCTTAAATAAAGGATTCCAACATTTAACACCTCTCCCCTCGTCATCCAAATGTTATGCTTCACATCCATGGTACAAACCACCAATGTAGCCTTAGACATCTATACTCCACATCACGTTATCTGTGAATTGTGTGTATGACTTAATACATCTTAACCCACAATGGATGCAAACAATTACACCAAGTAATTAAATTGCTCTCAAAATTCATGCAAATGCAGATATCAAACACATTGAAATGCACATATAACCATACAACATAATTAAGTAATCACACACATGCAAAAAAGATTA